AGAGAGATTAAGACTTGAAGCAGAGACAAAGTCTCAAAAATACCGGACAGATCCGGCAGAAACGGAGCTGCGTCACCTTATGCAGAAAATTCGATGACAAGAAAGGAGATATCAGTCTATATTTGCTATTGTTTGAAAGGCAAGCAGAATGGGCTAAAATTGATAAAGAAGAATTTGTATCTCATTTTACTAGGACTACTTCCTTACGCAGTAACCCAGTTAATAGCTAGAGAACCCTCCGATAAAGCTAAAGACTATGAACACGTGAAAAATTTATTGTTAAGACGGTTTAAGATAAGCCCGGAAAAGTTTACGCAGAAATTTATGAAACATCAAAAGAGTAGCCGAATTCACATGGATGGATTTCAATTATGAAATAGAAAATTATTGCAAAGAATGGGATGACTAGTCTAGGGAGTTGAAGACTTTTGATCCAGTTGCTAGATTTGATGGTGCTTGACCAACTTAAACGTCGATTTCCTCCTGAAATTCGAGATCATTTTCTTCATGAATGGGTTAGAGATGATTTCATCTAAAAAATTAGCTGAAAAACTTGATGCCTATGAAAAACGGTTTGCGGAAACTTTCAAAAAAGTCCTGTAGTGGATCGGCAGAAAGAAAGATACAATGCACTAACTCAATGGTAAATTGAGTTCTAATAAAATAAAACTGAAAAAAAATTGTCATCAGGATTTAATTCGCAAAGCTGGTTTCATAGACCTAGAAGTCCACGTCCAGATGATAAATATGAAAAACGAAAAACGCCACAATGCTATCAGTGTGGGTCCTATCAACATTAAGACCCCAATGTCCAAAACTTAAGAATAGTACTGAATCTCCTGCTAATCTTAACAAATTAGTGCAAAACCAGAGGATAAATTTCTATTAACTTATACTAGTATGGGTTACGTAAATGGTCATAAATTCCTATATTAAGGGATTCAATTTGCTAGTATTGATATAGTTTGTCGCAAATACATTCACGGACGAAAATGCTGACAGGTGAAAATGTATGGATGCAACAGCTATTAGACTTGAAATCTAACCTATTTATCATTGTCTGAGGTCGAACTAAATTGCCATCTTCAGGCTAGTACTAACTAAGGCTTATCATTATTAGAAATGAACTTTGACGAAAGGAAGATATTTGTTAGGCAACCGAACTTCTGTGCACTGTTGAAGGAAGACAAGAAATGAATCTAATAATCAGTCCTCACCAGGTTAATGCCGTTCTCTGCTAGAGCTCAAAGGGAAAGAGAAATAGCTGAACGCGGTGAAGAGGAAGATCTTGGAACTGGTGAAGAAAGAAAATGAAGCATCCAGAGATGCCTTTGAAGAAGAAATCAAATTACCGGAATTAAACGTGGAAGATTTTCACGAAAATTTGAAAAATGATGAAGAAATTAATACTGAGAATCATTTTGCAATGCAGCGTTATCATCATCTTTCGGCTTTTGATTTAATATCAAGCCGCTACTAATAGACAAGAAACAATTGTCGAAAGCAAATGACAAATGAATATTATCGAAAAGGGCAGATGAACTGAGGAAAGGCTATGCTGTGAATTATAGCCGAGGAACTGGTCCACCATGGAAAAAATCTAGGCGCCGTCAAGGAAAAAAGGAAGACTAATTTGATCATTTTGCATCTTTTTCTACTTAAATGTGGTATAAGAATATTTGTTTAAAACTTAAAAATTTGGCCTGAAATTTAGAAACTTATGAGAGAAGTTATCTTTCTCTTTAAGCATTTGAGCAAGCCGAGCTTGTATACTTTCGAATTTTACAGAAATTTCCCTTCGGTAAAAGTCTCTCTCGTTGGGGGAGAGGTTGTAACGCTTTAAAATATAGTAAAATTTTGTAGTTTAAATAATTTAAATAGATGAACATTAAGGTATTTGTGAATGGCAATATTTGAAACCAGACTCGAGTGCCTCGTGCGAATGTAATTTATTTTTAAATGATAGAATATGTTTTCTCTTCTTGTTTGTATGTCGCCATTTTTTTGAGTGTTAAATAAAAGTTACTGTTGTGTTCCATCATTGGAGTTGCTTCATTTCGCCAAAGAAGTATTACAATACTGACGAATAAACTGTGTTTTGATTCTTCGTCAGGAGTTGTTATCAATCACTCCAAATCCACGAACCCGTGGAATTCGACAATATGTATGAATTTTCAGTATTTTATGTATGAAATACTGTGGGTCGAAACGTAGACGGAATTATCCAAAATCGTATTTTATCAAATGTTTAATATATTTTTAAATTTTCAAGTTTGTTCCTTTTTTCTTCAATTTTTTCACATTTCTTTGCTTTGTTTTAATTTTCGTCGCATGGACACAATGGCGATTATAAATATTCAGGGTGAATCTCTACATTCTGGTAACTTCGCGATTTTTTGGCGAAAATTTGGCGACCAACCCTGCTACAGCAACCTGCTAGTTTTTTTTTTTGGAAGCCATTTTGTTTTCACGAAGTAAAGGCATGTTTTTATTTTACTTTATTTTTCTTTGTTTTATTTATTTATTTATTGTTTTACTCAACATTTTTTCCAACAATCTGCTAGCCGAATTACGCTTATGCTAGAACTTTTATGGAACAAAAGTGCTTAATCATGACGATGATTAGGTGCGAAATTGGAGAAAGTGCAGAATCGCCCACTGCTTGCCGCGTTTTTAAGAATTACGCATACACGGTATCCATGTACACGTCGACCTATTTTCACTTAAAAAAAAAAATCCCAGAATTGCAGAAAAATGGCATTGCGCACAGGCTTGAATTTATCCATGTACACATAGACCTATTTTCACTTAAAAAGTCAAAGAAAATTGACAAAAATCCAATTCTTCTTACTCTTGTAAAAAGCGCCAAACAAATAAGTGGGCGATTCTGCACTTTAGCAGCGAAATTGTTTCTAAGTGTTTATTAGCTAAAATCACGATCGGAATTTTCCGGACAATGTCACATGGCATGTCTCATGATCTCTCATTTCTCTGAGACAAAATAATCTGTGATTCGAACTGTGTAATTCTCAGATTATTGCTAAAGTGCTAGCTAGTAACCTTTATCGCCTTACCAAAATGTCGCCAAACTATATTACCATATTCTAAACTATATTACCATTCCTATTACCATATTCTAAAGATTAGCCATATTCAGTTTTACATTTCTTTACATTTATTCTCTTAATAATGTTTTACTTTGCATAGTTATATTACTTTAAAAATGCGTTCACCACAAAGACACTTTAACAAACTGCAGCATTAATTATAAAATACTCAACTACATTGAATTTGAAAATTTAATTAACACAGGCAGTATTTCAAACCCTTCAGACTTTTCACATATCCTTTAATCCATTTAATGTTATTGTCAAATTCCTTGACAAATGTCTTACAGGGTGTTTATTATGTTGTTATTTATCGAATAAGAGGAAATGAACTTATACCGTCTGCTTGGGATCAGTAATAGTTTTCTCCCTGTTAGCCACGACTTCACTTAATTCTATGGCCATAACACATCTAGAGCAAAATTAATTTCCTGTGTATATTTTAATTACGCACATGCATAAAACAGTCATTTTTAATTAAGACCATTCAATTTGAGTTTCGGTTGAATATAAGAAGGTTAGCGTAGCAGAATAAATATCAAAAATATAGCGCTATGATATATAATGGTAGTTATTTGGTATAATTTAGACAGATGTGTTATGTATGTCTTTAATCTTATTTCCAATGTTTATAGTAAAATTTTCAAAAATGGGATAGAACCTCCCATATTTAAACAGTTAATTATTGATTTTTAAAATAATCTTCGCTTCCAGTTGTAATATTCCTCCCTTTTATTCTACTAAAACTAAGGGTTGAGTAACCCTTAGCTTATTAAAGCTACTAAGCGAGTAATAGTTAAGTCCAAGAACAGAAACGTAAACTCAAGAAAGGTTAATTACATTTTATGGAACTACTCTTATATGCGCCCTCAGGTGGTCAAATTTCTCCCCAAACATTTTTGGCGAGAAACTCCGCACCGCCATATTATTGTTATTTTTGTCTACATTTCGAATTTTAAGCCTAAAATGTCTCCAAAAACGCGGTTTTCGCACGTGAAAAGAACCGCGATTTGAAGACACAATTTAAGCTAAAAATCCGAAACAAAAACAAAAAATGAGATAACAAAAACGTAAAGTTTCTAACCAAAAATATTTGACAAGAATTCATGTACACAGCGATACGTTTTAATTTCAAGACACATCTGCGAATTGCAGCGACGGAATCTACGAACTACGCACACCTCACTGCAATAAAGTAACATAACAACAATAAATTTCAAAGAATACCATGTACACAGCATTCTAGTTAAACTTAAAAATCATCTGCGAATTGCACAATCTAAGCATTGCGCACAAATCAACCAAATAAAATAAAATAAAATAACTAAAATTACAAGCAATTGAAAAAACAAAAATAACAACAGAATAAATAAAATGGATAATGTTCTTGCGATCTCAAAGAGTCCAAGAGCAATCTGTGCTTGCCCCTTGTGACAAATGATCCATGAAAAAATAAAATAAATATTAAAGAATAAAATAGGAAAAAATTCAAGCAAATAATAAATATTCAACAGGTTTTATAACAAAGAATAATGAATGCAGAATTAGAACAATAAATAAAAGAAAACATTGAACCGAACAAAAACCATAAAATATATAATGGAAATAAAATTCATTCCATAAAGTTATAAAATTATAAATACTTCTTTTATCGTAGTACATTATTTTAGCATTTTAAGTTTAGTTACGTTTCATATCCCCGAGAAAGCTTATATAAAAAAAAGGTAATAGAAATAGTTAAAACCGAATTTCTGTGGTAAAAATACATTCTTTAATACATAATTTTATAAATATCTATTTAACCTACATCTTTAAAAAACGAAAGGAAATATAGTTTAGAAATTTGGATTTTTAATGAACTGATGCTAAAACTAAAAGACATTATAATCTTACCCTATATGTTCCAAGATTTTCCACCACGCATGGTAGGATGGCATCTCGACCTTCCGCCACAGTCAAATTGACAGCATTTTCTGCAAACCATGGTTCTAATGGGTTGTGGGGCTTTTCAACTAGGAAAAATATAGTTCGGGGTTAAATAAAAACGAAAGGTTAACATATATAGAAATTTCATAATATGGTAAAAGTCATACAGATAATATACACGCATAATACTGATTATTTTACACTTAGAACTTTTAAAACCATGCATTTCACAACTTTTGTAAATTATGTGACAAGAATATTTATCTTTGAAAAACAAAGAAAGCCTATCCTTCAATCCAGAGCTGCATTCATTTACATGAAAGCACTTTCGAAGAAGAATAAATTTTAAAATAGCTGATGATATTTCTCATGTCAAATAATAAGCTGTTACCAGATATGTTTACTCCAAAACAGTATTCTTTTTTATTCTTCACCGAAACCGCTCTAAAAATGTGTACAATCAAGAGACTAAAATGTAATGTGTTCTAGAAATACTTATAGCCGAGAGATAAGCAAAAAAATAAAAGAAGTTTGTTCAGTTCCTTTCAAATAGCAATCTAAAATTTCGATAGCAAGTAATCTGTAAAAAGAAGTTGTCAAAAACTTTAACTTTCAAGCTCTGACATTACTCTGATATGAAAGATTAATTGCGTAAGCCAATAATTAAGAAGTATCACTAAAAAGTCAACAGAACAGAGATTCCAAGGGAAAAAAATATTTGTCAAAGGCAATTTAACAAATCCCTCCTCTTCGATTAGGCCTAAAAGACCCGCAGATGGTTGATATCTGCCATTAATTAAGCATCCAAGCAATAAGGGGCTGGGGCCAAATTTATGAAGAGAGCTAAAGGTCACGTTATAAAACGAAAATTATCCGTTCAGATAGCTGCAGAGAGATATTTTATGAGACAGCGTAAGAATTCACGTTATACTGATGAACAATTATGATAGCCCATACACAGATATTTGATCTGTTTCATATTTCGTTATTTTCAGTTCTTATTACACCTTTTATGTAACTTTGTAGAGTCATTAGGTTAGTTGGAAGCAGAAAAGATGAAAAATATGCAACCGCCTTCGCCGGGAATCAAACCATGGACCTCTGGATTATCGGCCCAGCGTGCTACCGTTACACCCCGAAGGTACGCTAGGAAAGTGGGAGAAATGCCTTATATACTCTCCTTTTTAAAGGGCGACTAGGGTTTTAGGAGACCTAGTCGCCAAATACTGGGTGCGGAGAATCATCATCCACAACCCTTTTAGTTCGCGCGGCGCCCCTTGTAGAGTCATTAGGTTAGTTGGAAGCAGAAAAGATGAAAAATATGCAACCGCCTTCGCAGGGAATCGAACCACGGACCTCTGGAATACCGGCCCAGCGTGCTACCGTTACACCACGAAGGCACGCTAGGGAAGTGGGAGAAATACCTTATAAAACAACTTGTAGGGATTTATATTTATTTGAAATAGCCAATTTTAATTAATAATGATATGCTTTCCTCTAAGCCTTCATTTCCCTAATTGTCAATGCCAGAATATTCAAATTTGGTAGCGCGCGTGAAGGACTGAAAATTCTACCTTGAGGATAAAAAGTTTAAATACCGAGTTTTAGAAGGAAAGCTAGAGAGTTTAGGCTATTGCCTTCCCCTCTGTTGCGTGAGCTTCTAGTTTCGTAGTTATTTCTGGTTTACGTGGCATACAGCTTTTATCTTGCTACCTCTAGATTTCGACGCGATTTTAACGAACTGGAGTTTTTGAGCTCTGTAGCTTGATTCCTACTACTTGTTAACAACTTTGAGTTTTTATTTCATTTCTTGTGATTTGTGTTACCGCCTGAGTGAGGCGTAGTGTGTTAGCGTCAACTCGACGCAGTGGGAATTTTAAAGCGTTTAATAAAGAGTACTTTTAAACTTTTTCCTGTACAGCTCCTACAAGAACTTACTACACGTACGGTTGTCACTTAGAAGATAAGCAAGTGGTTCTCACAAACTTTTATATTGTTGATAATTCTACAACTATTGCATGTAGATTAACTAAAGCATAAAAACGGAGCATAAATACAACATAATGAACATTAATCACATTTAAAGCAAAAAATGCACATTTTACTAATACATAAGAATATAAAACTGAACTCACCTGATCCGGGTATTAAAGTGAGCACTGAAGAGGCCGATTGCAACGGAAAAAAGAAGTGCACAAGTACATATTACAGTAATTCCATGCAGAAAATTTCAACATTCTGAGGCTACTAGTTTTTGAGTTATGCGGGATATATACATATGTATATATGTACAGGTAACGGAGAACGTGAGCACCATTCCCCTACCGTAAAGGTTAATTGGTTTAGCACCACGTCCCCCACCATCTATAGCAAAAACCCCGAGTTGTTAGTTGGGGGCTGTACAGTCATCTCGTACCTGGCTCCGAGACACAGCACCTGATGCATGGCCCTAATGACCAGCTGTACGTATACATTTACGTATATATGTACGTATATATGTACAGATGTCACGAAAAGAATCCCTTCTGAATCATTTTAAATCCATTTTGCAATTTGTTTTGGAAAAAAGAAGTTATTTATTCTGTCCGCTCATACAGATGTCAAGCAAAAGCATCGTTCAGATGGATTCGAAAGCAGTCAAAAAGGATATTTTCGCTGACATAATATACCCAAATGTTTCGTAATTACAATAATTCCTTTACATGATACTATAAAGATGTTATTTCGTGCCAAAAATTTATTTATATTTTAAGAAACTTTCTTTTCCCTTCTGATTTCAATTTCCCGCCAGAATTCAAATTTGTATCACTTAGATGCAAAATCTCAATGAGTTCGAAAATAGTACTTAAGTAGAATACTTGAACAGTTCGTAATAGAAGAGTTAGTTTTTACTCGGAGCACAACGGACTTACGCCGAGTAGTAGTTTATTCCTCGTGTTTGAAGCAGCTCTGTAGCTGAATATTTGTGCTAACCACGTATGTTTATATTATTTGATATTTTAGACACGGCTTTGCTGTGTGCGGCCCATAAATCTGATTTAGATTGAAGTAGGAGACAGCCGTGTAGCCGAAATTTGATTCATCCATATCGTGCGTATTTTTTGTGTTTAGCAACAAGTGGTGATTAGCTTCTAAGCACGAGTGTGGGCATGTTCTGTTCAGTTTAGCTAAAATGAAAAGGTTGTTATAACCAGTTATCATCTGTTTTTCAAGACATAGCGAGAATTTGATATCTCGTTTTCAGTAGGGTCTACATTTTGTGCTCCCTAAGACTGCGTTCAGACGGCGGCGTAAAGGGCATAGAGGCGTAGTCATAAGGGCATAAAATACGGGAATTCCATTACCACTTGCGAGAACGGGGTGTAAGCCGTGGCCAATGAGAGAAGCTAAATTTGCGCATGCGTGGATGTGTCTACAACTTTTCCGCGCTGTCCCCCTGCTCGACTGATTTCCCGCCTTCGCTCTGCTTGTTTTGTGACAGCGAAATCTTCTGTAGAATGCCGCTTCGTTTTAGCTTCACTCTGATTGGTCGACGCTTATCCCAAACTCGGCGTTTGGTTCAAAGTTGGCAAAGGGTTCAAAGTTTATGCCACGAGCCCTAAGTAAGATTTTGCGACGTAGCACAGACTGGTTGCCTTGGTAACGGAGCTTGGCTTTAACCGCTTATGTCCCCGTCTGAACGAAGCTTTAGGGAGTAAAGCTGTACAATACAAGGAAGTAAAATAGATTCTGATTATTGTCCAGCCTGATTATTCTTTAGCGAATTCTGATTATTCTTTAGCGATAAGTTGGTAGCGAAATAGCGATGCAGGCATCCATTCAGTTATGTTTAGCAATTTTTATATAAATTATAATAATGATCTGAAATATTTATTTACTCTTATGCTTCCATTCAGTCATGTTTAAGCCTTTTTCTTATAAATTATAATAATAAAAAAGTATTATATGAAATTAACCTTTCATCTAAATTAAAACATCAATCTTATAGTTATTTACTTTTATACTTCCTTTATTGCCGCAATTATTAGGGTTGCCGCAATTATTTTTGGCAGCATTGGCATGAACAATAGTAGCGTGCCTTCGTGGTGTTTTGGTGTGCACGCTGGGCGCGTATTCCAGAGGTCCGGGGTTCGATTACCGGCGTAGGCGTTGCTCATTTTTCATCCCTCCTGCTATCAAAAATGCCTAATATTTCTACAGTGGCGCCCGAACTAAAAGGATGGTGGATGATCATTCTCCACACCCAGGATTTGGCCATTGGGTCTCCTAAAATCCCCAGTCGTTCTTTAAACGCTTTCTTATGGGAGTATATAAAGTATTTCTCCCGCCTTCCTAGCATGCCTTCGCGGTAAGGTGCTCTGCAAGATGGGCACGTATTCCAAAGGTCCGTGGTTCGATTCTCGGCGAAGGCGTTGCTCATTTTTCATCAATCCTGCTTTCAAAAATACCTAATGTGTCTACAACGTTAGCACACCAGACTCGTATTCGAGATAAAGGTTCGAGTACCGCCAAAGGCACAGGACATTTTTCATATCTCCTGCTTAAAAATTACCCAGTAACTCTACATATGTATTTGCGAACCTATTTGTGTATTTCAATATCTATCAAATACGATGAAATAGTTACAAAAATTTCCTGTACTATTCGGTTTCGAGGACCGTAAAAAAATTGCAATGAAAAATGTACGCGCAAAAGCGCCAAATCTAGCAAACGCGCCCATTTAACAGCGCGCCAAATCTAGCGTACGCGCTGATTTCAGATAGCGAAAGTTTATATAGTTCTATATTTCTTAAGACACCATTGAAATTCTAGTGCACAAAAAGGGCAGTGAGCACACCCTTGACTTTATCTATGTACACATCGACCTATTTTCACTTAAAAAGTGAAAGAAAATTGACAAAAATCCAATTGTTTTTACTCTTGTAAAAGGCGGCAAACAAATAAGTGAGCGATTCTGCATTTTACCAAGAATCTTTTCAAAGAAAGGCATCATTCATTAGAAAATTACTTTCGAACAACCATGAGATGAATTATTCTTTAGCGATAAGTTGGTAGCGAAATAGCGATGCAGCATCCATTCAGTTATGTTT